TATAACTCAACAAGTCTGCCTTTCGAAAATAAGTCGATCGCACAGATTTGTATTATATTCGTATTATATTTTTCGTTCAAATACACGCCGCCGAGCGGAATGGATTCAAAGCCACCAACGGCCAGTTTTGATAAACATTACAAAAAAAATCATGAAACAAAGACATCATACATCAAAATTTCAAAACCCGGACACCGAGCTTTCGCCAGTATTAGCATCCATCCACGGCTGATCAACTTCGCCACTCGCATCCGGGATCTCCGGCCCGACTTCAACTGAATCCGGCGACACTACAATAGGGTTCCACTGATCCCACATTTGCGCCTCAGGATTGAGAAACTCGGCCTTCTTCTTCTCTCTTTTAGTCAAGCGCGCTTTTTGTTTGGCAAACTCCGCCTCATAAGAATAGTCTGCATGCTGGGTAAGATGCAAACCGCCAACTACGCCACGGCATTCGCGGTAATCATTATTGGTCCTTTGCGCATCCATAAATTCCGCATATTGAAGCACAAACCGCTCACAACGAGCCATCATCTCCGCAGCGACTTCTCTCTTTCCTGCTCTATGGGCGCGACGGACTCTCATGCCAAAAATCTCAAGAACACGATGAGAATCGGCCTCATACTCCTCTCTCACACGGGCAGTCCCCCTTCTAGCTAAATCATGGGAGCAAGAGAAGTTGGCATCGATCTCTTCTTTGAGACGAGCAGCATCCGTCTCCGCCGCCTTTGCCCTAGATTCAGCCTTACGAATCTCTGCATCGCTTGCGCTCACCGCTTCGCTCATAAACCAAAGACGCTGCAAAATAAGGGAAGTCTTTTTTCAAAAATCCGGTCACACGTAAAACAAATACGAAAATCGGTAAAGAACAGCAGACCTTGTTGAAAAGTCTTGACGCCTTCGCAAACGGCGTATCGACTGGTATCTCGGACGATGTTTCAGCCAGATCAAACTCGGATGAGGGAGCCGAGAAGTCGATGAAAATCTTCAATATAAAGGTCTTCGTCAAACCATCGGTCTTGACCAATCGGAACATCTCTCTCCTGCGGGGATCTAGATCTCTCCCTCGCTTCCGCGTCATCGTCTGCCTCAATCTCGACACGATCATTCTGAGAAAAACCAGAAGAATAATAGGCGACGACGCGACCAACTCTCTTTGGAGAAAAATATCCCCAGTAAAACGGACCGCCGCGAAGAAGGCTCATAACCAACTTGACGTCTTCAAGTAACGACACAAGGGGGGAAGACGCTGCAAAAGCACGAATCGTACACAAATATTAGAACGTGGAAACAAAAAAAAATGATAATACGCAATCTAAGTACCTTTCTTCGCCCATTTGTTCCTGAACGAAGGAATGCAACTTTCCTCCACCGATGCACTATCGACCTTGACATAAAAACCAATCCTTTCACTCATGATCATTAGAGGCAAGCCCATCGATAACCGACATCTTCAACCGCGGGGATAAGTAGAAACCACCCCCTTTCGCGTGCTTTAGCACCAGCATAGCCAGAAGATAGTCCGCACTGAGAGACATGCCACGTTCGTAACCCAGCATCAGAATTCCGACAAGGTGCTGCAACGCAGAGGGACGAAGGTGGCTGAACGATATTTTGAACCGATCCAAAAGCTCAACAATGGCTCGCTGAATAGGGAACCAAAGTTGACATTTCAATAGGAAGGCCTCGTAACATGTAAAGTAACCCGAGGGCGGATTCTCGGCGACTTAAGCCCATTTGGGAAGGCAAAACTGTACCGAATCCGGGATCGCGCGAGAATTCCTCATATCCCTGAGGGAACGAACGGTACTCGCGCTCGAACCTTCCTTGTTCCTCCGAAGCTTATCTCTCTTTGGAACCCAGAAGCTAGCAGGAGGAACGTCGGCAACACCCAAAGCTGACCAATATTTCGTGGTTTCTTCCTTACTCGCGGGAAACCACAGAAAGACCGGCTTGGGGAAGGCGCAGCCACCGGAAATAACGAGGTCAACTAGATCAAAGATTGGTGAAAATGAGAGAAATAGATTCAAAGGGAAGGGAAAAGAGAAAAGTTCTTGAACCTTAGAAACGTTATGGAAGGAAGTGAGTAAAGAATTTGAAAATTTCCTCTATATACTTATAAGAAAAAGTTTTACTATTTACCTTTGGACTTTTGGCCATTAAGTTCTGCCTTATTCTACTAAACTTTCCGAACAATTTCGAACCGCTCGCAAGAACTCCATGAATCTTACGAGCTGGGGGCTAATTGTTGGGGTCAAAATCGGTACGATGGAATCAATGACCAAACCTTTCTGCAAAAATAAAAAATATGTTTTATAAAACACGAGAAGTCATTTTATAAAATTCTAAGGACTTTCTGAACAAAGGAAATCCGTGGAAAACTTGGGGATCGTCATCTCGGAAGAACGAACGAAACAATCGCCGATTACACGATTGCCCAAATTAAGCAAAAAACCGCAAAAAACTGAATCCGCCGTAAACCGCGAGCAGCTTCGACTGAACCAGTTCAACGTACGACCAGCCAAACCAGCCGGTTCAGATCGCCATATGGCAAACTGGTCAGTCCCGGACAAGCTCGCCGTACGGCGAGCTGAACCAACCCGGTTCGGTTCACCGTATGTCGAGCTGACCGTCCCGAGCCTCGATCTCCCGCATCCTTGACGTAAGGCATACGTCCTTCGATTTGATAATGTTCTGAACCATGGTCGAAACGTCTCTCATTTCGTCTCGATCCGTCTCACCGTTCAAGTGTTACGATAAAAATCGTAAAAGTCTTCTTTTCTGTTAAATTTTGGGAAGATCGTATAAAACGGCAGCGATAAGACGGAACAGTGTACACTGCCAAACTATACAATTAACTCGAGAAATCTTATAAAAATGGCATCGTATCAGGAAACGACCTCGTCTAAAATCGTAAAATGGTTTTTATCGCAGAACGGCTCGCGCAGCCAAAAAGAGGAATAAAAGCCCACTTGCGACCTTAAACGAAATCCAGCCCAAAGATATGATGACGGTTTGACGATTTACTCGCAAAATAAGATAAATGTCAACTTTGAAGATAAATGTCAAGTTTGAAGATAAATAGAAGATTTCCGCAAGGAAAATGGAAAGATCGAGATAAATGGAAGATTCCCGATAAACTCAAATCTGGGCAAAAAGAAAGGACTAAACCGCCTAAGGAGGGAGTGTATAAGCAGAAGGCCAAGGACCGAACAAAGGGACAGAACAAAGTTCACCACCAAAACTTAGCATTTAGGCAACTTTCCGTTTTTATTATCGAGTTGCGTCTCAACTAGGGTTTTAGTCTTAGATTGCTAGAACTAGGAATCTCGCCAACGGCTTACGCATCTAAGGCTACTCTTGTTGTATCGTTCTTACGCGAATTCGGAATAAGACTTCTTGTTGCTCTCAGTCTCGTTTTTTTATCATCTTTTACATACTCATATCGTGTTCTTGATTGCTTTTGTGCGGTTCCGCAGATAGCCAGGTCCTCTGGGAAATTAGAGTTTACTCTAAATTCCTAAATTTAAGCAAAATTGATAGGGTTGATTCCCGGTTCCCACATTCATTAGCTGAAAAACCAAAATAAAACTTAAAACCAAACACACATAATCAGTCTTCTACGAGTTCAACTACAATAGATGACTTAAAAATTAGAAGGCACATATTATGTCATCAACTCAATTAAAATTGGATCTTTTGCAGCCTCCCATATATCAAGACCAATCTTTTGACGACAACCCTATATGATTTCGTCATCCACTAAACTGAGGTCAAGACCAAGGAGTTGGCATTCCAAATGTTTGAGTGCATATGCCCCGCAATAACATAAACTCTTGTTCAATCTAGCCTTCAGAGGTACCTCTGCGATAGAATAATTTTCCAGGAGTAGATACTTCTTGTTTTCAGGTGGTGCAACAGCTTTTACTATCCTAGGAATCGTAACAGAAAACTTCTCCACGTATTTTATATTCCTTCCCTGCAAGCGGTCAAATAATTCAACTGTCTTCTCAATGAAAATGACGCAGACAGCTATCCAGTGATTACCTGCACGGAACATTTCTAAATCTTTTAATATGGGGATCTAAATGAAGACCTGTGAAAAATGACCAAGGAATATTACCTCCGACAAACAGAGGAAAGTAGAGACAATCAACATCGACACCCCATTCCTGAATATTCACGAGGAAAATAAATCAATGCTGTATTGAAAGAAACTCCCATATTCAACCTTATATAATTAAGAAATCAATACCTCATTTCCAAGCCATTTTTCAGGACCTATTAGTCGTGTAGCTACGGTCATATTAAAGGCTGTAGGACCAATCCTTAAAGTTTTTGGATTCATTGAGCATTCAGTGAATCTATCCCATGATTCTTCGTTGAACCAATACAATGTGGACTGTGGAAAACCATCAGATGGCATGGGTGAGTCAGTAAGCTCAAGTTTCCTTTGCCATTTATTCCACTTGGTCGGCGGTGGATCTTTATTTTCTTACATTGGTTCAACCTTTATTTTCCGGACGGTACTCATCGGAGTCCACCAATCACATGGTTCGTTGTCCTTAGTGGTCTGCAATGGATCAAAACCTGGCACGTTCAAGTCTTGAGAAAGGTCTTCTAGGCCGTGGGTATCTATCCCTGTGTCTATATCATCCTCATGAGAAACTTGATTCTATCATCCTCCACCTCATCAGCTCTGTGAAATTCAGCACTTTCAATTACTACACAATTGCCTCCCTATGAGATGTATGGATAGATATATTCTACACAAGAAAGGTAAACAATGTTACATACCAAAAACTCATATCAAATCGGATGCAGCCATCTTAAATAGAAATATTTACCTCGAGTGTAAAGAATGTTCTCTAACTGGATGATCTCCCCATATGAAATCTTTGCAGCTCCTCTCTAGTTTACACATCTACGACCGTTCATAATTTTTTTGTTGATTTTCTTCCACAGAGCTTTCCAATCTTTGATACTGCTTCCATTGACCAAATCTGAATGGCGTAGGAGAAGCCATCTAACACGTAACTGGTAGTCTTCTCCTTCAGTTTGTCACAAGTTTTACCTATTGACTCGCATAGAAGGTCAAAAGCAGCAACTCCCCAAGGATAGTTTCAAAACTTCTCAAGATCCATGACCAGCTTCACATACTTGATGGGAATATTAGCCTTCTCATCTCGGCCGCAAACCATAGTAACAATGATGCACAGATACACGAGTCTTATTCGATCAGCATTACTCCACTTCTTAACATATTACCGGTGATTTTTCCACAGGTCCAACAAACAAACTCCTTGTTTTGTCCTCACCACTGTGCTCCAAAAACCACCATCATCTTCTCATTCAACCAACTCCTTACGTGAGAGGCTTGTTTTGCACTGAAGCCGGTTACTGTGTGGAATTTTAACAATGAAAACCGGAGTGGTCTCCGCGCAAAGGTAAACCATAGCTCATAGTTTTTGTAAGTCCACAGCTCCATACACAAGAATCTGTGTATCACTCTTGCGGAGTAACCCAAACCATTCTCGTAGAGCTCAAAATTCTGACCAAAAAGCGGATCTTTCTTCACTTCTTTCAACTCCTTTGGCAGCCATCCCTTCAACCTATCCATGTAACATACCATCCTGCAGTTGTTATTGATCTGAGTCACTTGGGTTTCCTCACCCGCCTCACCCGTTTTCTTTCATATGTCGCGTTTTGTGTTAGAAACGTTTGCGAGCTTGAAGATGTTACGCGGTGTTGCAAGGGTTTTGTCTTAACCCTTCTTTGAAAGAACACTTTGGTTTGTTTGCGGACATTCGCAGACAAAACTTATGTTCCTATTTGGATGTTAAGTAGTTTGATTTATGCTAGAGCAATTAGGACCGAGGGGTCGCGTATATATAGATCTTAGTCGATTTTCAACAAGTTTACATTATCCGTTGAATGTTTTTGCTTGGAGTGAAAGATGTATTCATCCGCATAGCCAAGGACATAGTTGGTAAAGGATTAGACCATGACACTTTCGTGCTATCAATAAGGTCGAGTCGGTTTGGATCCCCCTTAAAGGGGATGCTGTAACCTATCTCGGCATCTAAGTCAAGCGTGATTGGACAAGGGCCAAGTAGCGTTTGTCGAGATTGATATACCAAGTATGTCGATGGTCATAGAAAACATTTTTCCGTTTTAAGTTTGATTTATATGATGAAATTTACGTATAATCTTTCCTTTATTCGTATGGAAGTTGTTTCCCTTTTATCCGAGGGAGACAAAGCCTAAGAAGCTCGATGCAGAACCCGTGTGGAGTCAGTTTCAGGGTGGTTTCAATCTCCTAAGTAATCGAGGGGAATGAGAGCGGATGCCCGTGAGCCGCAAGGCTAAAGAATGAGATCTTTCAGATCGTGGTGCGAGGAAACAAAGTTTTAGATTGGTCGTCCAATGTCGGATCGTAGAGCTTGGATTTTGCCATAAGGAAAGTACATTTTCATAAAATATGTTATGTTTACTTTCGAAAGTTACTTCGTATGACATGATCCTGACTATACGCAGGATTTTTCGAATAAGTAATGGGCGATAAATTTAGTAAATCATCACGACGCATGGATAGAACAATGTTTCCGCAGATTTTTGAGAAACCGACTCCACTTTGTTTTTGATTCTTCGGTGATAGTTTCTTATATTCACTCACAGAGTTTTACCAAAGGTTATTTCACCGAGAGTAAGTCGCAAAATGTTTTAGCGGGTTTCTTGAACGGAACGAATCACTTGACCAGCAATAGGATCAGTTAACGAGCAGGGAGGACGTGTTCCCTATTGCTGCTTCTTGTGTTCTCAATTTTTCTTTGTCACAAATGTTCTTAATATTATTCTGTGACTCACTTGGGTCAACGGAAAAAGAGAGCAATGCTTTGATGCCTAAATATTTCTCGTATAATTTTTTGTTTCTTATACGAAACTTGTTTTATCAAGTTGGAAAAGATCTTTATGACTTCGGCAAATCTTCGAGTTTCACTCTCAAGTTTGGCAGAGGCTTTCTAAATGCAGATTGATATTAGAGATGCTGTATAGTCCATGAGATGATTTTCGAAATGGTTTGGATCAGTTCCTAGCGTTTAGAAAAATCTTAGATTATTGTTTGCTTTATAGAAAGCCTTTTCTTGATGCGAGGAAAAATGTTTTTTTAAAATATGGGAGTATACGGGTATAGTATATGAACATATTCCCTCCTATTTTTGTTTAAAAGGAAAGAAAAGTAGATGAATTTCTTTCAAAGAATTGGGATGATCGACAGTATGGGTCTATTAAATACCATGGGGGATTGATGATGACTTGGAGTATGTCAGCTTTACAAAAATTTCTAGGAACGAGTCGTTTTTAAGACAACGTCTGTGTCTCTAGTTCCTTGTTTCTTTAGAAAATGAGCTGAGTACGCTCGAATGCGTGGCAATTGTTTCTCGGTTGTACGAGAGATTGGTTTGGTTTGCGAGTTATTCCTTAGTTTCATCGATGATTTGGAACTGCCTCTTCTTCGTTCTTCGACTCCTTATATCTTTTGACTTATTTTCGTATGAATCGGTTTTCGATGACATACCAACGAGAATATCAGAGTGAGGAAGGGATTTCAACATCGAAGTCTATGTTCTTGTTTCTTCGTACTGCTGGTTTTAGTTAACTGACTAGGTGTGCTTTGTATATTGTTGAAAAATCCATCACACGTTTATGATTAGACGTTATCACTTAACGTGGCAAAATTTTGTAAAATCGGATTGCGTTTAGAGAGTTCAATCTCTCGTATGGTTTAGGAAAATTTGGTGTTGTGTCAACCGTTGTCGTTTTAGAAGATTGATTCGAACTTATTTGAGAAAGCAAGTCTTTGCGTTTTTTTCCATAAAGTTCCAACGGTTACACTAATTGGGACAAAACGAAAAGCGTTTCAATCGAGATTCAAGATTGAAACATTTCAATCCATCGAGCTTGTCCAACTCGCCCGCTGGCCAGTTGGTTAGGACAGTCCTGATTCGTCGAACCAATTTGTTTTCACCGTAAAACCTCAACAGAAACTCCGATTGAGACATAATGAAACACAATGTGATTATCGTTTGGAGTACGATCAGGCTTGTCCAACTTGCCATGGTGGCGAATTAGATGGTGTGGACCCTCGAGGAAAATTCAGTGCCTCGAGGATGAGGAGAAATGCCGACCAACTAGCCAAGGTGGCGAGCTGGGTTGGTACGGCCAGCTCGCCGTCTTGGCGAGCTGGACTGTCACAGCCAGCTCGCCAAGCCAGCGAGCTGGGTTCGTACGTCCAGCTCGCTGTCTTGGCGAGCTGGATGGTAAGGATCCTCTGGGAAAATTCAGTGCGTCGAGGGAGAGGAAAAATGCCGTCCAACTCGTCTAGTTGGCGAGCTGGGTTGGTACGGCCAGTTCGCCAAGCCGGCGAGCTGGGTTGGTACAGCCAGCTCGCCGTCTTGGCGAGCTGGAAGATAAGGACCCTCGGGGCGAAGTCAGTGCCTCGAGGTCGAGGAGAAAAGCTGACCAACTCGGCAAGGTGGCGAGCTGGTCTGTCTTGGCTGGCGAGCTGGGTTGGTACAGCCAGCTCGCCATCTTGGCGAGCTGGATGATAAGGACCCTCGGGGAAAAATCAGTGCCTCGAGGGCGAGGAGAGAGATCGATCAACTCGCCAAGGTGGCGAGCTGGGTTGGTACGGCCAGCTCGCCGTCTTGGTGAGCTGGTCTGTCTCGGCCAGTTCGCCAAGCCGGCGAGCTGGTTTGGTATGGCCAGCTCACCGTCTTGCCGAGCTGGACGGTAAGGACCCTTGAGGCAAAGTCAGTGCCTCGAGGGCGAGGAGAAAGGCTGACAAACTCGCCAAGGTGGCTATTATGGTATTTTTGTGTAGGGTCGTTTTAGTACTACGAAATACAAGAAGATTTGTATGAGGCAAGGAGAAATCGATGTAATAGAGAAGGAGACGTTTATTGAATAATCAAAGGGTGACTACAATGTTTGGTGTATAAACCCTAACTCTAGCAACCTAGATTTAGTCTCTCAATCTCTAAAGT